TACATACATACATACANATACACACACACACACACACACACACACACACACACACACACACACACACACACACACACACACACACATACATACATACATACATACATACATACATACATACATACATACACACACAAAGGGCACTCCCAAATGATTGTAACAACACACCCTTTCCATAAGGCCGGTATTTTTCTCGAGATCCAGATCCTTGACCACCTCCATGAGCCCGCCCAGATCGCCCATACCCAGCAGCTTACTGACAAACGGCTGAGCCGAGAACGGCTCAAAATCATCCAGATGCTCACCCGTACCCATGAATATGATGGGAGACTTAGTCGCCGCTACGGCCGAGAGGGCACCCCCACCCTTCGCGTGACCTGTGTTTTGTATATGATATGAGGCCTTAGCTACATGTCTTGAATGCGGAGTGGCTTGTGTGCGTGTGTGCGTATGGGCATGGATGAGCATATATGTGCAAGGGGGGTTGTGTATTGCAGATAAACAGATATGTGCCTGTAACTAGAGGACGTCATTGGTGGTGTATACCTTGATATAGCCCTCAATGGCCATTGAACTTCACAGGGAATGGGTACTCACAGCCTGTGGATATGTCCAAACCCACAATAAACAGAAATTTCATGTAGCGCGCCAATCCTATACCTACCTGTCTGATGAATGTTGTAGCTTCTCTTATATTCGCTTACATAACACGGACGACTTTGTATCATCCATAACCACCAACGCTTACACAGAACTATTTTAACCCAACCCAATCCATGCACCCATCTTCTACTGTATACACTCACTCTTACAATCCTACTACGCGATGATCAATGTAACCTGACTACCCGCATCCTTCAGTGTCTACACACACACTTCATCATCGGAGTGTGTGACAATCACAGACCCCCTGCTCCTTGAATGCCCTCTCCTGTAACTCCGCTAATTATCCAATACTTTTAAACAAGAATGCCATAGAATCACCCGAAAACACAACCAAATACAAAAAGCAGTGTACAAAAGTAAACCAATCTACACACCGATACGTTCGTATGTACACCCACTCTTACCATCTAACTTTGTGATGACAACACACCCATACGTTCGTATATACACCCACTCTTACCATCCAACTTTATGATGATAACACACCCATACATTCGTATGTACACCCACTCTTACCATCTAACTTTGTGATGACAACAAACCCATACGTTCGTATGTACACACCCACTCATACCATCTAACTTTGTGATGATCACAGACCCCACATCCACCTGTCCCTTGAATGCCGCCGCCTGTAACTCGGCTGCCTGTCCAATACTTGCGTCCATCACAAACACGATATTATCCGGGTGTACAGCCTGGTCAACCTGTAACATCTCTTCGAAAAGCCCTGCTTCTTGTTTATGCCTTCCTATGATGTTCTCGTACAGGATTCAATAAGAAGTGTGTGAATATGCGGATGGATACGTACAATTTAGTAAGGACTCAAGGGAGTATAAGTGCGAGTGTTCTCGTTCTTGGTCATGAGAATGTATCCCCAAGCAGGAAACAAGCGCTGGTGTCTGAGACCAACCATTGTATTTGACTTTGAAGTGCTCCTCGCACTCGGATGCGATACCCCCATGCCAGTCCATATGCTCCTGTACTTGTACTATATAGATACAAAAGTATATACTCACGAATGTACATAGGCATGTGTACAAACATACACGTACCGCCCGTATCTACTTTGGCTATCTCAGATTTCTCACCAACGGTTTCCTGCAAACCCTGACCGATGATTATCATCGGGTTTGTCTCGCTGCCATGTCTTTGTTTAAATCGCCACACCCTACCTGCACACACAAGTGCGTAATACTGTTCGCCAGAAAATATATCTGGAAGGGCATATATAGACCACACTATACACATACACGTAGGATGTTCGCATATGTATACTGCAGGACTTACCACTCGTATCTACTATAATAATCTCGAATTTCTCCTCCTTAAACTTCTGCACACCCTCGGCGGCAATGACCACGGGGTCAGTCTCGGTATAACTTCCGTAGAACGGAATGCGTGCTTTGGTGCAATTCTGTTTGAGCTGGTCGAAGGCACCCGCTCGAAACGTGTCTGCACAAATCAGGCACACTTTCCACCCTTTCTTCTGGTAGTAGTAGCCCAGCTGCGGTTCACAATATCAATATGTGTGTGAGTATAGTGCAAGTCATTCGCATATGGGTATTTAACTGAAGTGCTGTGACTGTTGTCAAAATGGCTGTGATATACGGCGGGGTTGTTTGTCATAGATACCTCTGCCTCGTATAGTATTCGAGTGTGTAATACAATGTTGGTGTCTGTAGCGATGGCGGCTGAGGCTTGTAGAGTAGGTGGTGCGTCTCAGTGTTGTGTTGTCGCCTATATAAGAGTAAATACTTACAGCTCTTTATCTGCGATAGTAACATCAGTGACATAGGGTGATGGTGCGTGATAGAGTTGTGACTGTCCCTATAACGCGAGTATA